GCTTTTTACGACTCGGGTTTTCTGGGAGCTAAATAGAATCTATGGTTGATAGCGTCCCAGTCAGTCGGAGGGAGGTGAATGAGGTATCAGAGAAGGATGAGCCCGACCAAGGCTGCCTTGCTCTAACAACCAGTGGTGGGATCGCCGCAGGTGCGTAAGTACAGTACGTACATTTGTAGAGCACAGAAAATGGGCCAAGAAAATGTTCAATCAGCACCAATTGACATCCTCTTGCACATGTTGCGCCATGCATCCAACTCCCACACAGAGGTGTTGGAAAGCTGTAACTTCTACATATATTAGGCTTCTCCGTGAAAGCAGATGTGACTGCGGTTAAAAATGATCCAAGCGTGCAATGCGCATCGTTCGTGATGTCGCCGTGGGAGCCTACCGTCTTCTTGTCACCGCCCGGCCACCCTCATTTCTGAGCTTGCAACTCGTCTCTTTCTTCAGGTGTTCTTCTCAGCAAGAACCACTGGTGACTCTTTGATCATTCCATGACTGTACAACATCTGGTTTTCACTGCTCCCTTGTATTAGGTTGGCGGGAAAGTTCTGCCATTAAAAATTAACTTTTTTTGAACCCAAGTATTCGCCTATTACCTGAAGAGGGCTAACCGGTAATGTGAGCATTTATACATTAAGGATTGATCTTTCTATTAGTGTCACTGGCTCGGCTGCTCTCCTTCATATGAAGCAAGATTATCCGCTACCTTCAGCACCGACCCCTTCAAGCGCTTCCTTAAACTATTTCTTCTACCACCCTGGCGCCAGCATGGCAGCTGTCGACGCCGAAATAATGGAGCTGCACAAGGACAATGTCTACAGTCATCAGACAATCTTCCACGACGCTAGCTCTTCAGAGCGGGAGCCTACGGTTCGAATGACGAAGTGAGGTTCGGGAGTACCTGTAAACTCAGCTCTAGATAGCGGTGGGTCGGAAACTACTGGATGAAGAAGCTGCCTCCTCGGTCAATCCGTACGCAAGGCAGCTACGAGATCTGAAGCGAATCGTCAAGCAGAGGGCAAAATCCATCGGCACAGTCCGTCTTCAACGTGCTGGTGCAGCACACCCCGTCAAAAAAGTTCGAGCCGTACTTCATGCAATAGAGCTGGATGGCTCTCCCCTTGCACCGGTGTAGTCCAGACATTGCTCTTTCTGCTAGTCGCCTCCCGTATTCAACCGTTATACAGCCGAGAAAACCTCCACGACTTGAGCCCAAGTCAAAGTTGAGATGATGTCCAACTTTGCGTCGCGCCGGCGTGCATTGTTAAGCGATGGCATCCACGAACTGTCCAAAAACTGGCAAGGATCTCTCAATAACATTGCTGTATAATTTTGATCTTGTACGCCTCTCTGTAAAAAGAAAGTCTAATTGAAAAAATGTGACAGAACTTTCCCGCCAACCTAATACTTCTGAAGTGAATACTTCTGAATGAACACTGTGCTTACTTCTTCTTCTTATTCTCCCTAGCGCTAATTACGCGCCGTTGCAGGGCCCGCTGTTCTTGTTAACAGTCGACATCTTCTCCTATCCGAGGCGTCCTCTGTCGTGGCCTTCACTTCATTGAGGTCTTTCTTGACCAGGTCCCTCCACCCTTCCGTCGGGTCTCCTCGTGTTCGCTTGCCTTGTGCTTCGCAGTCCAGTGCCTACCTTATCGAGTGTTCCTTAGGCCCAAGAGTTCTGCGCTGGCGACCCTAGTATTTCGCAATCAAATAGAAGCGGACTGTAAGCAAAGCTCGATTCTTGGAACAGCTAAATGTTCAGCTTTGAGCTCATTACGTCGAGAGGATCCTATTCTACCCGTTAAGATCATGTTACTTCCGTCCTACGGCATGAAAAAGAAACGGCATGGAGTTAGAGACGTACCATAGAGCAAATTTCGTTGCAAAAGACGAATTAGGAAGATGCAGAGCAAAACTTACTGATCGATTTCCCTGTTTTTCTACAATTCTTCTGAAATGTACAAATAACTGCAGCTTATACCAGCCTTAAGTGTTTCCATGGCTCGGCTTCTTATTGAAGGCGAGTCCCTCCGCGTCCCTTAACCTGATGCAATGGACCCGATGGACTTTACGAAAGCACTGGTGCAGTCATGATCCCTGCAAACGACAGGGGTATGGTGAGGGGATGGCTCGTAGTGGAGCCCGGCCATTTCTTCCACCAAATGTAGCGGGCTCAGGGTGCATCATTGGTGGAACTAGGCCGCCATAGTCCATCCCAATTCACGCCGTACGTCCTATTGCTTGCACGGATCATGGCTGTATGATAGTGAAATCATATTCCACATTGAATGCCACTTTGGCCAGCCAATTCTTCAATTCTTCGTAGTCAGTTGATTTATACAGGAGTCATCTGACTTGTATAGTTCGACCCAAATTGCTCTATCTAGGGTCCCTCCACTTCGCAGTGAAATTTCATCTGAAAGTCAGGAATCAAAAGGTTTTTATACTCTGAAAATGAGCGATGAACTGTCGTAAGTGGCATAATCAGCAGTACACATGGAGATGGGATGTTTGCTGAGCGCGAGGAGATGACACTTGTAGAGATCTGGATGACATCAGGGTAAAAAAGTTATGCGGAAAGAAAAGTGCAGTCAGCCCTTCAAATCGGTGCCCGATTTTTCAGTTTCAGGTCTTAAAGGCGCTCCAATTACGATTACTGCGATCTTGCTCTTTTGTAGAGGAAAATGCGCTAACCATAAGATTTTAGTTCCAGTTCACATCTGAATTGTTCGAGCTCAAGTGGTAATGAGAGTCTCTGGGAGTAATCGATTGGTTTCTATCTTGCCGAACTTTTCGGATTCCGGAAATCGTCGCGCTGGATATTTTGCGATCAGCACTGTGCTCAGCGCTCTGTCACGAGTGTAAAAGTAAACGGTGCACCCCGCAGCCATCGCGCAGCCGACGAGGTGCTCGAACAGTCTCCTCATCGCTCTTTCTACCGTCAACACACAGCAAATCTACTTCATTTCATCATGGTGAGCCATTAAATCTGAAAAATGCTCGGATTCTCGTCTAAGGATTAGGCTCTGCAGCAAATTCTCAGAGATTCCTGCTTGAAGTCTAGCCCGACTTCTCCTTGCCACGAATTACTATATTTAGGATTGACCACTGCCGCTTCAGTACATTGGACCGTTTACAATTTATCCGGTACCATGGGTAGGGCACAGAATCGCGTTGTGTAAAATTTCGGAAAATTAAGAGGCTCTCCTCAAATTCCCTCTTTTGCACGACCTCCCTCTACAGCGTATTCTATAGAAATCTCACCCCAGAGCAGATGGGGTCTCAAAGCGCAGGAGGTACAATACTGTGGAAAAAAACTCACGACAATTTAACGAAAATGTCAGATGAAGCGTTATCTCTTGCAACTGTGCAAAAGGACCTGATTTAATGAAGCTTTTACCCTATAAATTTGAGTCATCTGCGCCGCAGTTCGGCGGCGGGGGGAGGCATTTTGCACTTTTGCTACTTCCCATCGACGTGTCGACCTATCTAGACAGCCTCTTCTCGAGTTGACAGGTTTTAACATGATGGCTTGACGACCTTGCTCCAGCTTCACAAGAGTTCACAGGTTTCGCCAGAGTGAGACTTGTAAACCGAAACTAAGGAAGCAGTGGTAGCACAAAATGCCACCCCGTCGCCGAACTGCACCGTCATCTGCGTTGCCAAGTTTCCTAGGGGAATTCAAAATGAAGGCTGTAGCGTTTCCTTCAATACTGGATCACCTGTCAAAAGAGAAGAACTGAGAGGAACCGTGGCCAGACGACACTCGCAGGTTCTATTTTTATCCGGGTCCAGATCGGTAACTGTTCTGCCCTTGGAGGCAAGCACGCTGAGTGATCCACTTTTACGGCAGTAGGGATGCTAATTTCGTTGGCGCCTATCGTAAAGCGCTGAAAGTGCGAAAGTAAAGAAAAACCACAAAAACAACTCCAATGAGCCCCTATTTTGCCCTCTAGTTTCGGGAGGGTTGAGGACGAGCTAGCTGCTGCCGTGACGTCGTGGAAGACGAAGAGCATTGTTTGACTTCAGGGGGGCATTCTTCACTTTCGCTAGTTCGTTTTCTTGGTTCATGCAAACTAACACATCTCACTTTCGTTAGACCTGTAAACTCCTGCAGAGCTGCGAAATTGTGCGAGTGAGCCACTTTGGTCCAGGAATTTGCAAGTATACACAAGGCGACCTTTACAAGCTTGGATGAGTGCCATTCAGTGCTCCCACCAAGCCAACCTGCGCCATACGAAGTAATGCGAACGCCTCGTTCCCCTGCCCTTTTTGAAGCAGTAGCTATAGTGGACACATAAATGACACATTGATATCGCTGCAATCAAACAGGGTGGTGTCAGGAGAGGTGTGCCATCCCCGCCCCCTTGCCTTTACCAATAGCGGTCGGCTGCTAGGGAGGAAACTACCAGTGGAAGGAAGCGCAGCGGTGGGCTCATATCAGGAATCCGGACACCGACTCGACTGATTGGTACGATGTCAGTTGTAGAGTCTATTGGCCTCTTTGTCAATGTGGAGGAGAGGTCGGGGGCCTGGTTGAGCCCTCTTCCGCTTCCGCGGAAGCCCTTATCAGCCTAACCCTAACTTCCCTTTCTGCCGTACGTATTACCCAACACCAAATTCCAAAAAATTTTGCTAAAATCTTTTATTAAGTAGTGCACCCAGTCGGATTGGAGAAATTCCATCTCACGGCTCTTATAGGTTACAAGCTGCAACGATTCCCTCCCCCCCCCCCTTTTTTTCGTCCCAAAACCATTTTTGGGGCGTTTTATGCGATTTCTCTGAGGCAATTAGGCATTTAAGTGATTGTTTTCAGGGAGACCCCGTTGGAGATGCTCTTGAACAGCTCACAGCGATCAGATCGAACGTGAGGAAGTTTATTTCAATTTTTTTATACTCGTCTCACCTTCTTCTCACCTGGCTCTCTTTTTGCCATTCAATTCTCGCCTTGTTGACTTAACCGATGTGCTTAAGAATTCCGCAAGTACTTCAACATGTTCGATAAAGAAAACAAGGGATATATCAGAGCCACCCAGGTAAACAATCCGAATACGCTCGAATAGTAAATTTATAATATAAGTATTGATTGACAGGTCGGCCAGATTCTCCGAACAATGGGACAGGCTTTCGAGGAACGCGATTTGAAGCAGCTCATCAAGGAGTTCGACACTGATGGTGAGAGAATTTCTTTCTACTGAGTGGCGAAGATCATCTCATGATCATGAAGTGCCCTATGAGGAAGTTAAAAAGTACAGAGAGTTGGAATGGAAGTAGAAACCCGCCTCCAAAGACTAATGTTGCGATGTCATCGAGGTTGCACTGGGGGTGAAAAAACAGAAGTGCGTGTGTTACTTCACTTGCAGGAAAAGTAGCAGAAAACGGTCCGAAATGCTCCAAAAATGCCCTAGTTGTTCCGCGCGAGAGGCAAAGATTCGATCCGGATGCGGGCAAGGGGTCAGACAAAGATAGCAAGAAAACTAGCAAAAAAGGAAGAAGACAGATACGGCAGCTAGTAGCGCGGGTGGAGTCAGATTGGCAACCTGAGGCTCTAACGCCCCTACCTCTTAACTTCCTGAGACTTGCTCAAGGTTGTCCTAGGCGGTCAATGCTGCCTTGCTGCCTTGCCCTAGAGGACCTCCAACTCCTAAACATACTTGTTCACTGCGTATGCTGGAGCGTGTGGTAGAGGGGGAGGGCTGGGTTGAACGCGTTGCCAACTCGTTCACCACCAATTGTGGAAGCTGGCAAGCTACAACCACAGATGGAAAGCTCCGTCTTAGCTGCTCTGATACGCCCCAAAATCCATTGTAAACAGAGTGTGAATAATAGCATAGGGTACCTGTAAGAGAACACTATATTATCCCATGACCAACCCATGAAATCCGGTATTTGAATAAAACGCTTATTTTTAGGATCGGGTGAAATCGAATTCGAGGAATTTGCCGCTATGGTTGCTAACTTTGTGGTGAACGGTGAGGATAACGAAGGACTTGAAGAAGAATTGCGCGAAGGCTTTCCGACTCTACGACAAACAGGTCTGTCCCCGATCTTCCCCCGATCTTACCGCTGCTCCACCGGAAAATCAATAAATCGATTAGAATTGCGCTGGTTGCGCCCGCTTGGACCCTAAACACGAAATTCTTATTCTGGAAACCCCAAATGCTCCACTTCCTACAGATGTTTTTTTATGCAGTCTTTTCTATACACAGGCTTAGTTATCCACAGATTTACGACTGGGAGCCAAAACGAAAATCGTCTCGCTTAAATCCACCAAAACCAATAAGTCGAAGTTAACAGATATGTTAGAAAAGCAGAATTGTTATTTTCAAACCTATTTTCAGCTCACCTGCTATCTATTTAGATTAAGCTTGTGTAGGATTCTTCTCTCCAGTACCCCCGTGGACATTATTTTGGCTGATCTTATCTTATTATCTTCGCAGTCAGGACTGTTTCATTACGGATGGAATGAGCCCTTTATCGGTGTTTCCACCAATGGTTGTCTTGTTCTTGAATCGCCTACCGATCACTATTGGTGGGCAGGGCAGCCAGAAGCGGGCTCCCTCCCCTCCTCTTTACACAGCCCCGACTGATTGCGACGTTATCAACTATAATATAACACATTACCTCAACACCCGTTTTAAATGAGATTGGAATTTTTGTCAAATTTGTGGCCGAAAGGATGTTTGTTTGAAAAGTGGCTTCCGTGGACAGTTTGTCTTACGGAAGATGAACTTCATGCGTTCGGCGCCAAAACGCTTGGCTCCGTGGCCATAAGGGCTGACACGCCAACAGTGATAAAAGTGTGCCGGCTACGTTGCGCTTCAGTGCCATGCAAATAAGAAATTCACCTTTGGTGGGTCCAGTTGCACTCGGGGAAAATTTCTGGCCAAACTTCGAAAAGCTTGGAAAAAGGGCTTCGATTCAACTGAGAGTCCCGGAAAGCCTATAATTCCATCATTCAAAAATAGAACTCTGGTACGCTTGCCACACCCGAAAGGACTCCTATTTCCTGCTAATCTTACCTACATATTCAGGGAAATGGCTACATCAACGTATCAGATCTGAGAGATATCCTACGCGCGCTTGATGAAAACGTCAGCGAAGAAGAATTGGACGAGATGATTGCCGAAATTGACACCGATGGAAGTGGAACAGTCGATTTTGACGGTGAGCATGACCAAAATCAGTTATTAGGTGGGAGATCCAAGTTGCAGCTGTCTGGCAAGGCGAAATCGCCAACGGAGTGGCCTGCGCGGTATTCATGCCAGCTCGGACTGTGTTCTCCTGCAGACTTTATTCAATTTTCATTATTATTTAAAATCTGAAGCCTTTGGAAATACTTTCGAACTTTCCAAAGGCTTCAGATTCTTTTCGGATGCTCCTTCTTGAGATGCATCTTTTTCTCCAACATTTTGCGTTTTCACAGTTAAGAACTGTTGCGTAATAATGGTACACAAGCATTAAACTAGAACACACCTGAAAAATGAACCAGAGTGTACTTTATCGTCGCTACTCATTCTCCTACTTTTTGAGGTGTCCTTTCAAGCGATAGCTTATTTCAGAGTTCATGGAAATGATGTCTGGAGAGTAATCATTCAAATCACCTGCTCTTCGATATTATCTTTGTAGCCTTATTTGGTTGTAAAGTTGTGCCAATAAACATTTTCTGCTGGTAACTAGTACTAGTTGTATTCACAAGAACATTTTCATACTCATGAATTCCCTACTTTTTAGTAGACTTCAGTACCATCGTATTGGAGAATTGTTTGATAACTTAGAAAGCTTGGTATGTACGGAGGGGGGGGCAAAAAAAACACACGTTGGACGAGTCACATATCAGTAAAGTTTACACAGCCCAGACAGGACGTGGATACGAGTACCAGGGCGGAAGATACCCAAGATGTTCCTCGATAAGCAGGAGCAGGCTCTCGTTCATTACCACTCTTGATCTGGAAGACCTTCAACATCGAGCGGCTCCGGCAACGTCGCTACGATTATCTTCACCGCGTTCGCCAAGGCGAGGGTTGATGGTATGCACCGGAAGCTCCTGAAATGGGAAGACTGATATTGCCTCCGTGGACCGGACTGAAAGTGAGCGCTGACGATTACATCCGCTAACTCGAGGAGAATATCCTGCATTTCGTTGCCCGCACCATCTTGGAAACTTCGTAGTGCTACAGGATCGAGTGCCTAGATACGGAATTGAAGGGCGTTGGAAAAACTCTCGCCTACTTGGAATCGAAGGACGTTGTGTGACTGAAGAGACGGAATATTCCGAGGGTACTACCTGCCCTAACCCGCTCGATCACAGGGCTCGGGCGAAGCTCAACGGGGTGGTCTACAATAGCGGAGAAATCAACGACCGAAACACGGTCGCGTGGCAGAATCTCTGCATGGCCTTCATCCAGAAGGCTATGGCGAAGTATCGTGATAGTGTACATGTGCTGTTGAATATGATGATAGAAGTATAGACTATTCAAAAAATTGTAACTTATAACTTATATCGCCTCGAAAGTCGAGGAAGAAAAGTGTCGTTTTTTTGCCCCTCCCCCTGTGAATGAGATCTCATACCCGTTCATTTCTGATATTCTGGGCGCTTTTTCACGTTTGCACTATTTTTTACTCTCTACTACAAACAAGTGTTAATTCAAAGAAAGTCTAATTCGCAGAAGAGTGAGCGACAATGAGCGGACCTTGACAACAGTTGCTTAAAAAAATTTGTACGACCTTTCCAGAATGCGCCAAAATAGTATCTTAGGACAAAATGCTTAGCACAGGTTGGTCCTTCTCGTCTTTCTGATACAGGCTGCATCTCTTGGTTTGCTTGCTTGATAAACGAATCTCGAAAATAGCCTCCAAAACGACTGCACAAGCAATCAGGCGTGTCATACTGTGCAAATCCTTTATTCACAAAACCTCGGCATTTCTGCAGACAACCTCTAGCACAGTAATCAAACAGTGAAGATTAAACAACAAAGATTAGAGGGTACATTTTTTGGAAAAACGTGCACGTCTCGGCAAAAGAATGTGCACGTCTCATTTCCCGAAAGGTAGTTTACCGGTGGAGCGGCCTTTCTACAATGGTCTTCCTCACAGGATTCCCTCTTTTCTACTGTCACCTCTATACGTTTCTGAAGGAACTTCGAAGGTCTTTTTGAGGAAACTACAATGGTCTCTCTCCGTCCCCTTAATTGTTGTGGCTAGGTGTCTGCAGGTCGTCCGTCCTGCAATTGCATGTGAGCAGTATTCCGAATTGATGTTCTCGTTACTCCTGCAGATGACTCCGACTCTAAATATTGAAAACCAAAAGAATTGAACTTACGCTCACCATCAGATGGAAGCGAGTCGTTCATGTAAAGCGAGCACTGTAACGCAAGCAGGGTACAGCATCGTTGTGTGAAACACATAGGTGGTCGTACTTTTCCGCTAGGGAGGGGAGTCGTATTTGGTCGTTGGGAGAGGGGAGGGGGTCGTATGTGCCTTCAAGAGAAATTTGCTGTGTTGGGAAAACACTTTCC